CTCTCTCTCTCTGTGTGTGTGTGTGTGTGTGTGTGTGTGTGTGTCATTGAATCATTTCTTAAAAGTGTATTTGAGGTAGTCGGTGGAGGCCAAATGTCTGCCTATTTATTTAAACAAAATTCTCTTTCTATGTAGTCACTTTCATGTAGTAATTTTCCAGGAGAAGAACATTTTTAGAAACTTGAATGAAGGAAGTACCATTGTGTGCTTCCAGAAATCATAAACTAAGAGTGGATAACAATCAGATTGCATTCTCCTGCATTGCATATGTTCTACCAGTCTCACCTTCCCCCCAGATTGTGCCAGTAAAATCTGGAAGCAAAATGATAGCATTTCAGTGACATATTTTAACTGTATTCAAATACGTATTCAAAATTAAGGCTGAAAATGGAGACAAATAGCTCTCATTCTTACTCTTAAATCCATATCCCAAATCCTCAAAAGAAGGGGTTTTTTGAGCCAATTTCAGATCATTTTCAGTGGTTTGGAAAGGTTTAAGGGTCAGGATGGCAGCAGAAAACCTCTGGGAGGCAAGCAGATCCCTTTTCTGTCTTTAACCCTTTATCTATCCAAAATCACAAAAAGCTTTCTGAAACCAGCCCAGAAAATGGAGGGTTAAGGGTAGAGATTGGAACAATTTGTATCACAGAGAACTCCTATTTCCATTCTACCTTTCAAGTTCAACCCTATAAAACATATAAACTCTTGGTGGGGGGGGGAATTGACCCCCTTTTTGGAAAGTTAGGAAGCTGGTGAGCAAAACCAAGAGAATATCTACACATGAAGGTGTCCAATATTGGACAGAGTTTATGTTTATAAACTCCGTGTTAGCACTGCCAGATTGGATTATGAAAAATACTAAACATATACTATCCAACAATAAAGTTGATGCTTTACTGAATGTCTTCCATTCAAATTCACAATTCTTGTGAATTTAAAGACTTTAGCTATCTTACTGGGCATTTAACAGGATATAAAATAGCAGTAGCTATTTTAGTATAATATAGACTTATATTTAGTATAGACTTATATACTGCTTCACAGTGTTTTACAGCCCTCTCTAAGTGGCTTACAGATTTGGCATATTTGCCCCCAACAATCTGGGCCCTCATTTTACCAACCTCGGAAGGATGGAAGGCTGAGTCAACTTTGAGCTGATGAAAATCAAACTGCTGGCAATTGGCAATCAGCAGAATTAGCCTGCAATGCTGCATTCAAACCACTGCACCACCATGGCTCCAACAAACTATCTAACTATCTAACAAACATTACTTTACAAATATTGTTGTAACTTATTGAGTTGCTAATAGAAGAGGAACTTATCAAATTTGCATATGACACCAAGCTGGTAATAGTAGCCAACACTCCAGAAGATAGGTTCAAGATACAGAAGGATTTCAACAGACTAAAACACTGGGCCCTATCTTACAAAATTAAATTCAATGGTGAGAAAAGCACAGGTATCGTATAGGTGGTACCTGGTTCAACAATAGTAACTGTGAGAGGGATCTTGGAGTCCTAGTGGACTCCAGTCACTTAAATATGAGCCAGCAATGTGGTGTAGTGGATAGAATGCAGTACTGCACGCTACTTCTGCTGACTGCCAGCTGCCAGCAGTTCGGCAGTTCAATTGTCACCAGCTCAAGGTTAACTCAGCTTTCCATCCTTCTAGGTCAGTAAAACGAGAACCCAGATTGTTGGGGGCAATATGCTGACTCTGTAAACCACTTAAAGAGGGCTTCAAATAATAATAATAATAATAATAATAATACTGATTACAAGCAGTGGCATGACAAAGTAGCAACAATGGTGCATTGGAAGATCTGCAAAAAATATCATTTGCCTGTAAGCAAAAACTGGTGGGATCATAAAATAGAGAAAGTCATAGAAAATGATAAAATTAAACTGCTCTGGGACTTCAGAATTCAAACAGACAAGCACCTGCAACATAACACCCCAGACTTAACAATTGTCGATAAGAAAGACAAAAAAGTCTGGATAGTGGACGTGGCAGTGCCTGGAGATAGCAGAATAGACGAGAAAGAACTGGAGAAGATAACAAAATACAAAGACCTACAAATAGAAATAGAAAGACTGTGGCAAAAGCAAGCAAGGGTAGTACCAATAGTCATAGGCTCCTTGGGTGCAATCCCAAAACAACTGGAGCACCACTTGAACACCATTGGCATTGACAAATTCGCTATTAGTCAATTGCAAAAGGCGGCCTTACTAGGAACTGCTTCCATCCTGCGACGATATCTGTAATACCATCAAACATCCACATCTGCCTATCCCAGGTCCTGGGTAAGGACTCGATAGGTAGACAAAATGCCAAATCCAGTCTGAACATCTGGCTGACTGTGCGATGATCCATAATAATAATAATAATAATAAAAGTTGGAAGGTACCCTGGAGGTTATCTTGTCCAACCCCCTGCTCAGGCAGGAAACCCTATACCATTTCAGACAAATGGCTGTCCAGTTTCTTCTTAGAGACTTCCAGTGCTGGAGCATTCACAGCCTCCGGATGCAGATATATAAGTGGTATATAAGTCTAAGTGCTATTGCTATTGCAGTTTCCAAAACATCCAATGCAGTGCTAGGCTGCATTAACAGAGAGATAGAATCAAGATCACGTGAAGTATTAGTACCATTTTATGAAGCCTCAGTAAGACCACACTTGGAATATTGCATGTAGTTTGGTCGCCACAACATAAAAAAGATGTTGAGACTCTAGAAGTGCAGAAAAGAGCAACAAAGATGATTAGGGCACTGGAAGCTAAAATATGTGAGGAACAGTTGCAGGAATTGGGTATGTCTAGTCTAGTGAAAAGAAGGACCCGGGGCGTGTGTGGATATTATAGCAGTGTTCCAATATTTGAGTGGTTGCCCCAAAGAAGGGGAGTCACTATTTTCCAAAGCACCAGAAGCAAGACAATGTTTGGAAATTACCCAAGAGAGAAGCAACCTAGAACTAAGGAAAAATTTCCTGACAGTAAGAACAATTAATCAGCGGAACGACTTGTACCCAGAAGTTGTGGGTATCAGTAATTCAAAATAATGAACATACTGTACATCAGGCATGTCAAACTGCCGGCCTGCGGGCCGGATGTGTCATGCCGAAACCGCGCCCACCCCATTGCCGGCAATGAGGAAAAAGTTGTGATACATTGAGCGACGTCATGTGACATCGTGAGTTTGACAAGCTTGCTGTACATAATACTTTCTCCTCCTATTTTCTGCACCATCACCTTGTGAGGTGGGATGGGCTGAGAAAGAGCTATTGGCCCAAAGTCACCAAGCTGGCTTTATTTCTCTTTCTATTGATTGTTGTGAGCTGCCTGGAGTAATTATCTGTGGCCATATAAGTCTTGTAAATAAAATAAAAAAAATGTTTCTCATTTTAACTAATTTTTCAGTTATCCAGGAAACTGGAATATAAAAAGTGCATTTTATAAACTACCATCTAAGCTATTCAGTTTGTATGTTATAGCTGTAAAAGTTGGGTACCTAATCATGGCACAAACATGAATGGCAACATCTTTTTTTCTGCCATAATTATACGACATTGCCTTCATCTTCTCCCCAGCCCATGTGTGAGACAATTCTTAGGTCTTCTAATGTTAAAACAGAATCTTGCTCCTTAAGTCAACTCTGTTGAAGGACAATCTCAAGGTGGGTAAAATCAAACCTGTATAATGCATACCTGTACATAAGGTGCATCAAATTTAATCCTTCTGTGTTTTAATTCTCATGAAAGCATGTGAGCCAATGAAATAGTAAGCTGTTTTAGAAAATAATGTGAACAATTTGGCTTATTCAGGGTAATTGAACTAAATATGTAGTTCTATTTAAAAGATTATGGCTTACAGCAATATGATTCTGTCATTTTTGTTAACATGCGCCAAGCCAATTTATTTCTGCATTAACTTCACTTCATTTGATGTAGGCAAACAAAACCCAATGCAACTCAATGCATTTAAATTACACATTCAGGTTGTTAATGTTCAGATTCTTTGGCTAAAACGTTATAGCTAATTTGCATAGAATAAATATAATGTCCTGACTGAACTGTTTTTGGCAAAGAGCAACTATGAGATTTCAAAATATCTGAGAATAGATTAAAATCATCCTATCACAGTGGAAGAGGGCTTGTCAAAATTGGGGAAGATCTATCCTAAGTCAAGTGTCCCTATCCACACACACACACACACATACACACACACACGAGATCCAAGTAGCACATGAAGCCACACACCTCAGTCTGTGGAAAAAATGCTTTCCATGGAATTGATCTCTGGCACCCAAAAGGTTGGGGGCCACTGATCTAAGTAATCTTTTCACCAGCTTTGTCAGATTTTGGATATCAAATAGGTCTTTGATTCTATAAATACCTTAATAAATATATATATATATATAGTTGACAACAAGCAACTTGCTAAATATAATCATTCAATTCACTGAAAATTACATGATTTTCTTTTACAACTATGCATCTCATTTTTTCTTCACTTTTACACAAATATATCTAGAGAGAATGCATATGGAATGTGACAGACTATTTTGAAGCATCAGATAGCACAAAATACATTTTTTTAATTCTAGAAAAAGTCAAATAACACCATTAGACATTCTAATATGTGTTATTTAAATTATTTATAAATTATTTTAGTACTTCAGTGTTACTGTTTTTAGAGTTGCTAAAGGAGCAGAAACCAATATTTTCATTTTTAAATGCATATTTCTGTTTTGTGAATCAGTTTAATATTCAGTCTGACAGTTTTATTTTCCTGACAGTTTTATTCAGTCCTTAGACTTACACATTTTTTCTTTACATTTTATTTTTTTTAATCTGAGTTTGTATTACCTCTATAATCCAACCATTCCCTTTAAAAATGCTATTGCTATTTTTGCCTTGTGGGCAAATCTTGTTGCGTTTCACATTATTTTTCAATTTATTTTTTCCCTTCTAGTCAAGCAGTTTTCTATTCTTCTCTATAGAATTACTCTGTATGACTACCAAGCCATGTGTAGAACAACCAAAGAGAGTAGTGATAGCGCCCATACCTTATTGGATGTAAGTATTCTTCTACTGCTTATTATTACATTGTCATTTATTTCTAATCTTATATATCCTTATCAAAGTATCAATGACCTTTATTCCTAGATCAGTGTTTATGGTGTCCAACAAAACATTATGGTAATTGTTTAAACCAGGGGTCTTCAAACTCCTGGCTGAGGAATTTTGGGAATTGAAGTCTATGAGTCATAAAAGGGCTGAGTTTGAAGACCCCTGGTTTAAACTATTAGCTCACATGAACGTTGAAGACTTTTCAACATGTTTGTCCCTAATGTATGCTTGCATCCTGGATTTGTAAATTGTCTATAAATACATAACCTTTTATAGAACAGTAAGCATTTCATATATTGTGGGATTACATTCTTGTATCACTCTTCCTGGAATAATACCTTTGATCACAATAGGATGTGTTTTGGAATAGATGCATAAAATTGTACCATAATTCTCATTTAGCTGGAAAATCAGGAATTTTAACAACAATATTATATTTGTTTCTGGCCAACTTATAAAACATGAATATTTTCTTGTATTATAACAATAAATCATCAGTATAATAATTGCTGGATCAAAATTAGGATGGGTTTGTTTAAAAAAATAAAAAGTGCTATAAAGTAGGAACAATTACTACTGATTCATTTGATTAATATCTCACCTTTCCTCTAGGACAGGGGTATCAAACTGCCGGCCTGTGGACCAAATGTGTCATGGCGAAACCGTGCCTACCCCATTGCCGGCAATGGAAAAAAAGTCACGACATGTCACGTGACATTGCGAGTTTGACACCCCTGCTCTAGGACCTCAGGAAGGCATATGTACCACTACCTTCTTTATTTCCTCACAAAATATTATGTTGGGCTGAGAGTTGGATTGATTTGAAAAATAATGATAAGAGCTTTCATGAGCTTGAACCAGTGTCTCCCCTCTATAATCCACATTTTAATCACTACACTATTTTGATCTACAGTTTTTAAGTTTATGAATTAAATAAAGCAGTTGCTTTAACTTTCAAATATTCTTTGTGATAAAAAACATGATTGATATAAAATGAAAAGTCACTACCATGAATAGTAAGATGCACATAGATAAATTCAGGGAGGGAGGGAGGGAGGGAGGGAGGTAGGAAGGAAGACTGTATTTATGTAATTTTAACCTAATGTCTTTCTTGCAATTTTCTGAGAAACATTTGATTCGCTACTGTTAAATATGCTGTTGGTCCAATTCAGCAAATTTGTTCAAGCTTTCACTAAATGCTTCTTAAATTTTCTAGCAAACAAGTGAATTTACAATATAGGTTATATCTCATATAAAACAATATGATTTATATCTCATGTATAGAATTTTTTGAAACTTTCCAACCATTATTGAGGTGATTGTCATATATGTCCTCATTTATTGTTATTTTGGACATTATGATTTTTGGGTGACATTAGAAGATGCTGTAAATCAATGATGGGGTAATAGTTATAGAATAAATGAGTTTGGGAAGTGATACAAGTCATAGAACTTCAAGCAACATGTTATTTTCAATTCTCTTTTTGCCAATAATTATATCACATAAACATCACAATAATATTTGTGCTAAAATCATAGCATTTTATTCATTTGTAGAAATATTAATGTATTTAAAACATTATATACATCTGTCACTTAATATATACATATTATACATTCTGGCTTTTTGATTAAGTAATTTGTTTGTCTTCAGCCTTACAAAGCTTTCTTTGCTGCAGTCAAATGGATTGTGACTGAACTTGTCTTGTAAGTAAAACTTGTTCTGATTTGAAGATCGTACTTTTCCATTTTTCATTCTTCTTGTTGTACCAGTTGAGTAATTTATGTACACTTTCAAATCCTTAGTGTATAATTTTAGCGGTTTAAAAAGTACTTAAAGCCTTATGGATTTCACAGTAATCATTTCCAAAATATAAACTAATAATGCAATTCAATACATGCCTACTCAAATGTAGAATCCTATTATTTTCAGTGGAGCTAACTCCTGGGTAATTCAAATATAGGATTGCAGCCTAAATTTATTACTGTGGTTGCACTTAGATGTAATATAAATATTTGGCTGATTCCAGTTCTGCTTGGGTGGGCTATTAATGTGTGTATTTTCTCAGAGGATCTTCTGTTGTTCTCTAATTTCTTAAGTGATTGCAGCCCTGTGATTGGCATATTTGAAGTTCATGCAAGATCTAGTGGTTGTTTTCCACATGATATAGAACTCCTGTCAATTCATAATAGTTTTAAAGTAAAAATGGATTATACACTTGAGTGGTAATTTCTTTTGCATAACTGGACCCCACCAGTAAAGCATAAAGGAGTTTTAACATTTTTGTTAAGATCTGTTTAGTGGAGAGTAGGAATGGCAGGAGACATTGAACAATCTGTAATTGACCAGGTTTATTACTTTACAGATATTCACAATGTAGATTTAAATGAGATTTCTCATAGTGGATGGAAAAGAATGTGTGTGCATATGATTTATTGCAAACTAAATCTGCAAAATTTAAAATAGAATTAAACCTTGATGATGACTATACAAAACAATATGGGTATTAGAAGGTAAAGTTCAGAAAATGTTCTAGGTTGCTTGTTTATGATAACCATTTTTCCTTTCAATGTGAACATTTAAAAGCTATTGCCATTGACTTTAGTCTTCACATAAGCATGACTTGAAGCTGACACATTTTCATGGGAATGTTGTATTTTTGTATGAGAAAGTTTTGTCATTTGCTGACAAAATGAGAAATAATATTTCTCTGTTTATGAGCCTATTGTGGGAATTGGAGATTTTGCCTGCCTAAGGATTGAATGTATGCATCATAGATTTTAATCCCACAATCAATGTGTTCTCTGTACTGGAGAAATAGCTACTGCAACTTGTCATGCACTAGAAACTGCAATAAGGTATTTTTTAAATAAAATTCTTGGCTACAGAACAGTCCAACAGAGATACCAATTTCAACAGAATTTGAAATTGTAAAATGAATTCAGCTGGGAGAAAATGTACAACTATAGCAGACAATATCTCATCATGAGCTTAGCTTGATGTCTGTTTTTGAACATGCTGGAAAAAAATTATTACTGACAGTTAATGGTATGAACTTGCCAGATATAATCAAATAATATATTTTTGTGGCTTAGGTTTCTGGTGGAATTTAATCTATGCAATTGGTGGCATTCGGATCTTATGGCAAAGGGTAAGAATAATGTATATTAACAGATATATTAACATCTGTGTTATTTGCTTTTATAAGAAGTCAATATTCCACAAAGCTTGAGGTACAAAGGAACTTCCAGTTTTTCTAAAGGTACGCACAAAAGAGAAAATTATTTTCTTTTGAGTTTGAAGTAGAACAGTTTAACAACAGTTTTTGATCCTAGAAAGTTTTTCTAAAACTATCTCAGTGATGTGAACATTACTGCATTGTGTTTAATTTTTTCAAACACTGGGATTGCAGTAAACCAATTAAAGTTTCCTGGAGATGATATGAAGCTTCTGACATTGCTAGAAAAGCATGGGAGAGACAGTCACTACGCTAGTCTTGCAAGAATCATTCCCAGTGCAAAAAAGTCTGTATTTCCATCCAGAGTTCTGCAGCTTCTGTGTAAGTCCTATGCACCCAATACAAAAATAATCTAGGCAGAAGTGAAATAGAAAAATGAATTCCTACTCCTTAGTGGCGGGTGCCTAATACAAGGAGCAAATTAAGTACATCCATTGGTTTTTGTGGTTTCGGTTTCTGGTGGAATTTAATGTATGCAATTGGTGACATTCATAAGTAAATGGCTAATATGGCTTTTGGGTAGAGCAATTTTTTATGGCACACTCTACTGAAAAGGAAATCATCTTGGTGACTTTTCAAAGAGCTACCCAAGGCAATGCAAGGCACACTGCATCATCCTGCTCACTGCCCAGAGCCACTTGGTTGAGATGGGCAACTATGGGAACTAAATAAATAATTTTTAAAAAAATCTTATGTGATCACTGTAATATTCTTGCATGATTTACCAGTCTTAAGGAAAAAGGAAAAGAAGCATTCCTCAGAACCAGTTGAAATTTTGCTCCCCTAGTGCCTGGATTTGAATCGATTGCAGTATAAACATGTATGCAGAGCCAATTTGGTTGGTTATGTTTAAGGCACCAGGCTAAAAATTGGGAACTGTGAGTTCTAGTTCCATCCTAGACACAACCTGGGTGACCTTGCGCCAGTCTTTCTCTCTTTTAACCCTAGGAAGCCAGCAATGGCTAACTACTTCTGAGATCTTGCCAGGAAAACTGCAGAGTAGTCACCAGGAATCAACACTGTCTCAAAGGCATCCCTGCACCTTTATAATGACTATTACAAATGACGTGTTTTACACTCTCTCACACTGTCCAGTGAAATGGTTTGCTACCCACAACTCTTTGTTTTAGAAGAATTAGAAATAAATATGTGTTGCAGCTATATTATTAACTTGCAGCCTTCTTTCCGTAAGGACATAGGTTTGCCATTACCTCAGAAGATAACGATACTGCCTTTTACTTTTTACACTGGAAGCTGGGCATATAATTACATACGTCATCTGCTCCCTTTTGTTAATTACTAGGAGGCTGCAAAGTATCCCCTCATCCTGATCACAAGAAAGGCATAATTTTAATGCAGTTGATGTTTATAGTCAATTGAATGAGCTGGCAGTCATAGGAGAGATGGTTACCAGCACAGATCCAAAAAATCAGAGAGCAAGTTGTTTTATCCCATCCTAATGAGATTTATGAAATCAGCAGTTAATACACCTTGAATCTTTCTTTTCCTTTTCTCTTTTTTGGCTGGGTTGGAAAAGGATGGTGGTTCCTGAATATAGCTTGCAAAATGGAAAGAAAATATTCACAGTTATTTGCATCCTATTTTTTACTGTGAAAAATTGAGTAAAGAATATATGGCATCTGTTAATCATGCTGATCATAGGAATCTCAGACATTAAGTTCAATAATTCTATGGCACCAGGTACTCCTTATCACTATACAAATAGACACAATTAGCAGGCATGGATATATATTGGTTTTGAAGAAAAACTAAAATAAAAAAACTCAAGGATGTGGGATTTTCTTTTAATTTTTTACCTTGACTTCAAGTGAAAGAAATTTGGACTGGATCCAAACTTAAGTCCTATTTAATATAGACCCACAGCAGTCAGTGAATGTTAAGCTAGTTGGCACCAACCTGGAGCATTGATTTTCATGTGTCTCCTGTGACAGAACTGTCATAATTGGTCAATATTTTAAGTAATAGATAACTGGGTAGGGACATGGCAGCAGATGGTATGTACTTTTTGCACAGTCTATAGCCTTGTAATGCACACTAGGGAAGAAGTTACTTAAAATAATGACAGCAACAGTATAAGTAACTGGATATCAACACGACACAAATTTTAAACTAATAATGTTAAAAATAATAAGTGGATGAAGTGGTGGGCGAAATGCAAAACTGCGGACCTCGTGATATGATGGGAGTAACGCAAAGAACAGCAAGAAGGAGAATATTAAAAATAATAGATTTAAAACTTATCCAAACAAGTTTAAGATTGGGAGGGGTGAGGTTAAGCAATTAAATAAATTTGATTTTTCAATGCAGCAGTGAGTAAATTATACAGTTTTATTGCAAATACGAAGTATGGTCTTAATACCACTCTTGTCAGATGCAAACTGAGAACAGTACTGCCATAATTTCCCATGGCTAACTAGGTTTTTTTTTTTTTTTTTTAAGAAGTAAGGGTAGGAATAACTATGAAATACCCTTCAATTCTACTAAGTACGTCTATATTGTTGCTGATACGTTCACAACTATTAAATTTATTCATGTATGCAGTTACCACTGAATCAATATTCTATCTCTTTCTTATGGCCAAACTATAATTAGAGTCATGTATTGTAAGAATATCTTTTAGTACTTTGTGTCTTCTTATAAGTGTCTTTTTTAATTATAAAATAAATCTTATGCATTACCAGCATAAATCACAGGGTGGCAGAAGCACTGTAATGATTTCACAAGGTCCAAAGCACTGATACAGCATCTCACACTGAAGAACTCTAAAATAAGTTATTATCAAAACCCTTCAGTCTCTCTTATTTTCTTTAGCTCAGCGATTGAAGCAAACCCTAGAGCCTTGTGACACTGAATATCCAGCTTTTGTTTCTGAACGCACAATCAAGGAGACTACAGGAAATATTTATTGCGATAACTGCTTCAAGTAAGTACTTAATTCTTTTTCCATGGAGTTGGTTGAGAAATTCTGAACTTCATGCTCATCTCATGGAAAACTGGCTCTTAGTATTACTCTAATCCCATCACAATATTTAGACTGTGATACTCATAAATTTAATAAGTAAAGCGATGTGACCTTAATGCTTCATAGGAGCCCTTCCTTGTGATCCTATCTGCTGCAGTTCCATAATCCAAAGAGTAAACAATGGCAAGATGTACAAACTGAGTCACTGTGAGTTTTATCTGTTACATAAAGAGGATTGTTCATTAGATGATCTTTTATTCAGACTGTACAAGTACAAATTTAGACACAGATTTTCTAAGGGAAGACAGTGGGGGGGGGGTTTATGAGATCCCCATTGATCACACTGTATAATTTGATGCATTCCTATTTCCTGATATGATAGAATTATAGTTACGTGGTCAAGGAAATGTCATTTCGAGGCACTAAAACTAATTCCAAAATTAGTTTTGCTACTGCATATTGGAATTGCCTGGAAACGTGGCTTACCCTTCCTTCCAGGTTTGGTAACCCAGCATAGGTACATGTGTCATGATTAGAAAAAGAAACTGAACTGCAGAAATGTTGATATATCACATTAGGAATCAAGGCAACAGATATTTGACACCATTGTAAGTAGGAAGGCTTACAATGGTGTTTGATGCAATCTGCCTCCCTTTGCACAGTTTCCTCTCAAAACTGAAGATATTGATGCAGCAAGAGACAAATCTATGCATAGGACCACATGGAGCTTAGAAGAAGAAAAATACTAGCTATTTATTTCTTTTCCTCCTTCTGAAGAGAGGAAAGGAATATTTTAGGTATGGACACAGTGAAAACTGAACCGGGAGGCGGGTCAAATTAGTAAACTAGATTTAATTGGTTGCTAATTCTCTGCATTTAGATATTAGCCAAAAAGAGCAAGGTGATGATGTCTCTGTAAGCTCTAAACTCTCAACACTATGAACATAACCATGTTTATAGTGTCTTGATATTTAAATAGATGGCAGATCAATCTCAAAGGCATTTTAAATGGAGTAGGAAGAGACTGGTCATCTGAACACCCTGCAGAAACTCCTCCTAGTTTAGTCAGAAGCAGATGACATTTATTAGCTAGTTTATCCAACAGCCAATTTTCCAGTCCCTTGGTAGATGAATTAGCTGCTGATGTAGTTACCAGATGTAGATACGTCTATCAGATTTTTGTTCCTTTGTGTTTCGGGGCTGCACAGTGAATACGTGAATCTTTGTGAAACTTTACACATAGAGAATCTCCTCACTAGATGATGTTTTGTACATCTCAGTATCTCCTTTATTACTGGTTTCTATCTTCCAACCTGGTTTTACATTTTTATACCTGTTAAGTTCAGTAATGTTATAATGCTTGAAAATAAGAATAGGTTAATTCGACTGACTCAAAAAGAGAAACTTGGTGAAAATTCAAAGTAGTAATAATCAACACACTAGGATCTAATGCCAAATTAGGCACTTCTTTTCTTTTTTCTTTTACAAAGTTAAGAACAAGGAAAACATTTCAAATATAATATACTCATCATTTAATGCTTCATGTATGATTATATAAAGAGGAATTGTAATTCAACATGGCCAGCTTTTCCCTATGTGAAATAAAAATATACCATTGATATTTTCAAAAGTATTTTCAGGTCAGGAAATATACTTGGATTGAATCAGTAGGAAAAATGACTTTACTGAAAATTATGTAGTTTAAGAATAATAAATTGTGATAAATTTTCTCAGAAATCATTTTATATTCCAGGGTAGAAATAAATCCTCTATGCTAATAATATGTTGATCTCAAGGCACCCATGATTTTTCACAGCAAGGAATAGTAATCCAAAGAAATAAGTGCTAGAGACTCATGGGAACATTCTTCATGGTGTAATTTATTCAATTACTGACATTTGCAATCAGCAAATGGTGACACAGGGCAGATTCTGCTTCTGACATCACAGTGTTTTTTGCACAATTTTTCTGCCTCTTTGTGGGGAAAGAAAGAAAGAAAGAAAGAAAGAAAGAAAGAAAGAAAGAAAGAAAGAAAGAAAGTCAAAGTACTGTATCCAACAGTTAGGCTTCTCTGTAAATATAAAATGTGGGAAATAGTGTTGATGGAGGAGCTTATTCATAAAAGAGATTCCATAAATGGAACCCGAAGAGGTACAGTTACTGTTTGGGGCTATACCACATCAGAGAGAACATGTTTAAATTGGCTCCGTGATTCAGATGTCACTTTTTTCTAAGTGTGTCTCACACAATGTTTTAATAATATAATCTGAAAACCTTTGCAGATTTGTTTCTGCCTGTTCCAGCCTGAAAACTAATTTAAATAATATAAATGTGGTGGATAAAAGACGAGTGTGCAATAGCAAGCCCCTACCCAATTTCCTGTAGGGACCTATTAAGTTTATGTAAGTGTGGTGTTCCCTTTTTGCTATGATCATAGTGGTGGGATTCAGCCAGTTCGCACCACTTCGGTAGAACCAGTACCTAATTTTTTGTTGCCCAGGCCCAGAATGGAGTTCTGGAAGCGGCATCCATACAGAGAACCGGTTGTTCACATATTTGAATCCCACCACTGATCACCTATTCTGATAGTTCGAAAATAGCCCAGATTAGCCTTGCTCACGGTTGCCCAGATTGAGTGTGATAGGAACTTGAATTGCTGCAAGTCACTGCATGCAGAGCTACCTTCAAAAGTGATGCAAGAAGCTGAAGCTGAAATGTCTTGCTTACTAGGAAATAGCAAGCTACCAATTTGGGAAGAGCTGTACTGGCTACTGGAAAATTTATGGCTGCTGCTAGGAATGCTAGTTATAAAGCTGTTTAACGTTTGCACTTGTATTACTTTCTAACAACTGTCTGCTCCAGATAGCTTTAACTAATATTGTCAGCTCTATGATGTAGATCAGCTCATGAAACCGACTCCACAAGAAGGCTAGACTTTTGTGAGATAGTCTGTAGTAGCAGAATTTCACAAGTCTTCTTCCTCAGTTAAAGACACTGAGCTTGTCAGCTGGAAAGCTGAGTGCCTGGGTTCAAGCCCAAGCGTTGTGCAATGGGGTGAGCTCCCGTTCCTGCCCCAGCTCCTGCCCACCTAGCAGTTTGGAAGCATACAAATGCAAGTAGATACATAGGTACCGTTTTGTGGGGAGGAAACTGTTCCATGTGTCTTTGGTGTATATCTATGCTGTCCACATGATCACAAAAGTCTTCAAACAACACTGGCACCCTCGGCCAAAAAATGGCACCCTAGAGTCAGACACAACTGGATATGGAAACTTTTACCTTTACTCTTGTGTTTAACTTTCCCTTTTTTGTCCATTCAGTCAGGGAGGAACCAGCCTGAATCTCTTCCTGGCATGTCCTATTCCAGGGTTTAAGGAATGCTTCTGCCCTTCATGACGTCATCTCCGTGGCTCTCTACAAATGTGTAGAGAGAATGCTGGGACAGCATTCAATGGTTTCCAACTTTGAAATGAGAAATGGATGGGGGTCCAAAAGCAGGTCCTCTTGGGCATGGAGCCTTTGATATGGAATAACCTCCCCATCCCAATGGCCACTTTGGTCCCTTTCCAATTGCCATGCCAACACAGTATTAAGATAGTGTTCTATCAAAGAGGCTTCAATGAAGGGGGAGATGCTAGGTGGTTGGAACCAGCTGCAAGTAGAACCTGGTTGTTCAGCAGTGAGATGATATTTAGGTTACTCAACTGTTTTCATTTATGTTTTGTTATGTTGATTATAAGCCATCTTGAAATCTATAGGAACTAGACAACTCAGAGGTTTATCCAAACTGTCCAAACTGTAAATAAGTCCTTTGAGTAGGCATTGAATTTAATTTATATAGAAGCCAATTTTAACCTTCCACAAATTCTCTTGCCATGTTTACATTATATGAATATCACTATTTTCTATTCTTGGCTTTAAATATATGTCAAAAAGCCATTTCTTCAAAGATATAGAATGACCTCATCTCATTAAGTGTGATGAGTTGTAAGATTCTTCAGTGTAGAAGTAGACAACACACAATCAAATCCTGGAAATAATTAATCCACTTTTGAATGTGTAACACATGGGAGTTGGTTTCTTTTCTCTCTTTCCACTTGACAAAAATACATTATTTGTACTTCGTGAATTGCAGTGTTTACATTATTTTCCAAAATATAGGGGCCTTGGAGAATGTAGGAGCCTAAAAGAAAATAAGAATTATGTAGGAATGTCGTTTTGGTTATGATTTGGCAGGCATAATCAATAATTTTTGACATCCTATATACCACTGATTATGAAATTAATCTTTTAGTTAAAAAGCAATTCAGATGAAGTCAGGCTATATTTTTTGAACCTCTGTGCCTGTCAACAAGAATTAGAAAACTGGGTATTGTTACAATGCTTTTCACATTTTCCAGGAAGTGATTATTGACTCATTCGTTTCCATTATTCTTTTAAAGATAGAAGTTAGAAGAGTCTAAGATAAGCTGGAGAAGATAATCATCCAAATCTTATTTATGAATTGTGAAATCCTGAGCAGGTTTACTTAGGAGTAAATTCAAATGAGGTCCATCAAATGTATTACTTAGTTATAGTTTCAAGATTGCAGCATCTGAAACTCCCAATAAGTTTCTTTTCATTTTCATTCAGGTTCACTGGATTTAACTTTAGGCGAATAGCATTTTGCTGTTGTTTGAAGTATTTTAGGTTCCATTTGTAGCCTAATTGAGTAAGGTTTGTTGTTGTTTTATGTGCTTTTGGGGGGAGGAAGAAAAGAAAACATTCCTATGTTGCCTCTTATCTAGCCTAATGTTGTAGTTTAAATAAATACATAACTGATTTAAAAATGGAGGATGGAAAGAAAAGGAAAGGGCAATTTGGCAGTTTTCCTATCATGTTGAATACAGGTATAAAAAAAGAAAACATCAAAGAAAAAAAGGGAGTGAATATAACTACTTCAACTATGTGAGAGGTTAGAAGTTAATTGTGAAATATTTTATATATACAGTCCAGTGAGAATGGTTTGATTTACAAGTCTTTAAATCCCAGGGCCAAATTTTGTATTGCATTAGCTCACTTTTCTGGAGAGAAATGTTTTTTGGGCTG